CCCCCCTCCAACCTCTCCCCCCTCCGAGACCCGTGCGACGAGACGCCAGAGCATGAGCTAGTTTGTGGCGCGAGCAGTTACTAATATGCTAGTTTTTGTCGCTGGCCTCGACCACCACACCTTCCCCTCTTATCCTTTAATCCCGTCGTGGAAATAAGGAAGAAAAAAATAACCGGTTCACACATCCCAGATAAACATATGGAAAGCTGTAGCAACCATCACACGGTTGCTTCAGGGACAGCTCTTTCTTCTCTGGGTGCAAGCGACTGGTAACGACTGGTAACGTAGCCAAGACTCTATCCGCTGCCCCAAGTGCTACGGGGTTCAAAAGATTAAAGCATATTCAAATTATTCCTTGACACACGATCGAACTACACGTTAAGCACAAAAAAGGTACACCCCACTGATTTCGTGAACGCATTTTAATTAACCTAAAATTGTCCGGTTGTACGCTGGCACTTAATTAGGGTAAAATAAAACTGGTGGTTTGAGATACCTCAGATATAACACGACCTAGATGTAAGCGAAGTGTAAGTTTACATTTTGTAAGTCGGCATGCTCTCCTCCTGTTTGGGGAAGTGTTCTCCTATTTCGCCAAACTTGTTTTGCCATTTATTTTTTGAAAGTTCGAATTATGTGTCTTGAGTGGTGCTGCTGCTGCTTGTCTTATTGTTTGCGGTCGGGTGACTGCAAGGGAAAGGGACGGGAGGAGTTGGCGGTGGTTGGGGGTGGGGCAGGGGTGGTGGAGGACTGAGACAATCCCTTCCAAACACAAACAGACGAGTCGTCCCGCTCTGATCCTTGTCTGCGCTCGCCGCCTCGCCTCGCAGTAGTGGCCAATTCGCATTCCCGTCACACTCAAAAGTAGTGGTTCCATCGCCGCAGCCAGCCGTACGAGCGCGTGGAGGCAGTGAGTTAAATGGGGCGGCAGACAGCGCCCTTCCCATCCCTACCTCTCTCCCTGCTCCCCGCGCAGCCCATCCCTCCCATCTCGCACCGCGGAGGGTTGTAGGGCTCAAGTAGTCGCCCGTGTTATTTCCTCAATAATGCTTTCGAGAGCTCGACCGCTCTGCTCTGCCGCCCCCCTCTGCACGCCCGTCCCGTCTCGTCCCGGCCCCCCCGGCCGCCTTGCGAGTCTCGCCGGGCACCCCGCAGAACAGCCCGGCCCGGTCCCCCCGTGGCAGGATATTGCGTGAGGAAGTGGATTTAAAGCTCATTGGCCCGGCTCGGTGGGGCGGGGCGGGGCCGGCTCAATGGCGACGGCGGGAAGTCATTTGCTGTTTGATTTCCGGACTGCACGACGGCGTGTTCGGGGGGAATGGGACGCGGAACGGGGCGGGGCGGTCGTTGTGGCGTGAAGTGAAGATGTCTTTGTGGCCGCCGCTCGTCGAGTTACTGTTCTTATCACATTTGTTTAGCGAATCTCGTGTGTACAACAACAGCGCATCTTCCAAAGTATTATTTTTCCC